AGGAATGCAGCGTCATGATGTAAGGGAGGAGCATTGGAAAGGAGGCAAGACACCTGAGTTTGGGTCCTTGCCTTTGCAGTTAGAATGACTGGTGGGGTCTTTAGAAAATCATTTATTTTTTTCTGAGTTTCCATGGTCTCATTTGTAAAAGGAGAGTGTTCGATTGAATCATTTCCAGTGCTGTTTTCAGATCTAAGAATTCTGTCATTCCAAAGCCTCGTCTGGCATGTAATGCTATGGGCTCCCAAGGAGAAGGCAGGTTGACCCAGAGGCAGCCAGCAGGTTCATGGTGGGGCTGAGTGGTGACTCCGGAGCTGAGGCCAGTGTTCTTTCCCTGAGAGCAAGTTGTTCTCCTACACGGGAGTAGCATTTGGAGTACAGAGGGCCTAGGGAGTCCATGCACGCTGACTGATGGTGGTGACCTGGCTTTGGTTCAGCACAGAAGTGGGTTGAGTTTTCCAACCATTTTTAGTGTTTTTTTTTTTTTTTTTTTTTTTTTTTTAAAAAAACTTTTTAAATCAAATTAAAGTGGGGGCCTAGGGAGTCCATGCACGCTGACTGATGGTGGTGACCTGGCTTTGGTTCAGCACAGAAGTGGGTTGAGTTTTCCAACCATTTTTAGTGATTTTTTTTTTTTCTTTTTCTTTTTCAAAAAACTATTTTAATCAGAATTAAGTGAGGTGTCAGGTGATGCTGAGATTTAACAAATCAGCATATAACTGTGGGGTTCTTCTTTTCTCATTGGCATTTCTGTTCTTGAGATAAAGATAATTTCAGAAAATGCTACCAAAGATCATCATTCCCCTGTGTTTAGCTCTCTCTCCTCCCCACTCATTGTCATAGTCCCTTTTGCATTCTTAGAGGATACATCCCTTTGTGGCTGCATTGGCTTTTAAGCTGCTCCTAGTATTGTTGACAAAAGCTCACAACCACATTTCTTATTGCAGTCTGTGAAGAAAACAAAAGGATATTTGCTGCCGTCCAATTGTCCTAATAATAGCTTATGGTTAGTAAAAGCAAAAAAGGGCAATTAGAGAGCAAATTCCTTCCCTAGTCTGCAGAGCTGACAATGAAGATGGCAGATTGAGCTGCCGATGCTCTGCACTTTGCCAGAGAAATCTTTGGAGAGTTCCTCCCTTGATTTGCACAGAATTAGGCTTGGTATTTCTGTGCCCGCTTCCAGATTTCTGTCAGGCGCCTCTGAATTCTAGGGGCTGCCACAGACTAATCTCTGAGGGCTGGGTAGGCCCTAAGGCTGCTTTGCGGGTAGAAGAGGTTATCTTGGTTAAGATTCTTGGTGGAAGCATATTTAAGCCCACGGGTGATAAAGTACAATGATTAGTAGAGTTCATCTTCATGAAGCACACCCTAATAGAATGAGACGATCCCGGATCCATTTGGAATGCTTTACAGTCTACACAGTTTTTAAAATAAATCCCCAAGAACATTGTGAACTAGTTAAGCATTAATTTCATTTTATATAGGAGGAAAGAGCTTTAGCTGCATTAAGTGACTTGTCAAGATCACATGAGAGGCACAGCCCCAACTAAGAGGCTTCTGTGAGAATCGATGCTTGTTTTTCCCCTTGGGTTATGGTCTCATTTCTTTAGGGAAGTATCTCCAAGCTATCTCCAGATCTTTCCCCTAAATGGTAACACTGTACATACAAGGGGGTTTCCAGAAAGTTCATGAAAGATGAGTGCAAGAGATGGAGACAGCAGCGGGTCGGGAGAATTAAAGTATGAGGGTGCAAAAAAATGTGAAATTCATGTATAGTTTTTCCTAATACATATTTTCCATAAGCTCTTTGAAGGCCTCTTGTATTCGCTGTATCACTAGCTCTGTTATGTGATGAGGCTTATCTTTTTTCTCTTTTGTTTAAAATATAGGATTTGGAGAAAAGTAATATATCAAGGACAGATGATGTAGGTAAGTCATTACAAAATTTTTTTTTAAAATACACTCTAAGGGTGTGTATTCAGGCATATTTCTTGTAAATTATCTTTCAGTGATGCGAAGTGTTCTTTCTGATTTTATTTACGGGGTAACTATGGTTATAAACACATTCTGTCTTTGGCCCAGCCCAAGGTTTACCTTTAGGAAGATCTGGGGAGGACACTTTCCAGATTAGAATATTGGCATGTGATGCATGTTGGAAGTAACGTTATCCTGTTGGATTTCATTCCTTCAGCCATCTTTTATTGAGTTTCTAATAAGGGCTGAGCACCATGCCAGGTGGGCACGGTGGGAGAAGGTGAGATGAATAAGGTATGCTCCGTGGGAGAAAAGAACAGATGTGGCCTTCGCTTGTGCTTCCTCTGCCTGGAGCCAGTCTCTTCACTCATTGACCTGCACACAAATGCTTGCCCATCAGAAGCCAGCTCTCAGCCACATCTGTCAAACGCATCCCAAGAACCCTGATGTAGAGTCTGCTGCTCCTTCTTTTGTAACACATCATACTTGCATCCTAGCCTTTGAATACCTTATTTATGCTCCTTTTCTCCCTAAATTTATTTAAAGTTTCTTACATAAGAGAGAGACAGACAGGAAGATGGGCATCCCCAGAAGGGTCTCTATGCTGTGATCCAGCCCCAGTCTCACTCAGCCTGGTTCATGGGCATGTGTACCTAGAGAAATCTTGGGACATGAACCCAGGACCTTCCTTATGTAGATCCAGTTGTATCACCGCTGAGCCTCCATCTGACCTCTCGCACTCCTTTTCCCACACATCTTTCCCCCAGTGTATTGTAAGCATCTTCAAGGATATGACTAGGAGTTAGTCTTTTTAAAAAAAAAAATTATAGGAAGCATGCCCCTGTATAAGGCTGCCCTTTTGTGGGTAGGGGTGAGTCTCCCCAAAGGCTGTGAGCTTTGTCTGTGTCCTTCATCCCAGGGTAGGCCATGAAGACCTGGAAGCTGAGCTGTGGGTAATAGGGAGATAGATATTTTTCTTTCTAGACCTTTCCTTCTCGGGCCTTGATTCAGAGGTATGTAGAAGTGCAGAAAATGGGGTGAAAGGGGAGGATGACTTGTGCTGAGGCCCACAGGGACAGGAGTTGAGGTCTGTGAGCCCTGAGCACAGCTGTATTTAAGGGGCCATATTGGTTCATTGCTTTTTCTTCTCTGTGTTATAATACCCAGTCCTTTCAGCCACTTTACTGTTTTGCTGCCAGACCTGGTGGCAATGGGCATTTATTTGTAGACTTATTTCATGGAGCTGATAGATCTTCTAGTAGTAAATTGTTATTTATTTTAAAATTATTTTAATATGAGAAGGTGCATGTGTGTGGGTGAGATAAGGGACAGTAGGGCATGGGGAGAAAGCACCTCTAACTGGGCCTGGTCAGATTGAAATCCCTTCTCCAATTCTTTATCTCATCAGGATCTTGGCATGTCTGTGCATACCCAGCATGCTTCTTAGTCCAGTAGGGCTGAGACCCGAATCCTAGTGGGCCATGTGGGATCCAGCTTCCTCTGTGCAACACCTAACTGCTGTGCCATAGGGCTGGCCTGTCCATGGTTATTAAATGAATTAACAACCTGAGTCCAGAATCTGGTCTTAAAATCACAAAGGAGAAATTACCTTGGACAGTTAAACTGCTAACGTCCAGTTGAGTGATACCTCACTTGGCATCAGTTTATCTGAAAAAGACCTGGGGGCTCCCTTGTCAGAGTGTTCATAGTGTCCACAGGACCGGCAGGTCACCATAGAGCCTGGTGCATGGGCACCAGCAGCGTCAGAGTGCCTGCATGGGCTCACACACAGAAGGCTGGTGACGGCCTTCAAGCACCGAACTGTCCTTTTTGCTCTTTCAGCTTACTGGCTAGTTGATAGATGCCCTAGTGTGCGGTTATTCTCAACAAGGAAAACCTAACTGGGGTGGCTCTTTGTGTGTGTCTATGTATACATATTTATCCGTCAGCTTTAAATCACAAGGCTGCTTGTTATTTACCTTTTATCAGAAGAATGCCATATTAATTTCTCATCAGAAAAGCACCAGTGTGATGAAATCTATTCTGGGTAATTTCTGACCAGGAAGATTAGCACTTAGTACAGTGTTTGGCTCATAATTGATGCTCAGCATCAGATGACATAGAAAGCCTTTGGTTTTTTTACTTTCAGAGACAATTCTTTCTTTTCCAGGCAGCCTTTTCTAACTGTCTTCTGTGTTCCACTGCCTTTCTTGAATGTTCTCTACATCTCACCCTTGCTTTCAGCACCGCATTGGCCACATTGACCCTTCTTATATCCTTGATGGATTTTTTTTTTTTTATCTTTCTTTGCTATAGCCTGACACACTATTTTTTTTTTAAAGTGTATTTATTTTGAGAGAGAGAGATACTCTCAATAACGTCTTACCACGCCATGATCTTCCTCCTAGCCTCCGAGCCAGCCAGTGTGTTCAGGTCACTCTGGGATCTAAACGTGGGGCCTCCCATCTGGCTCTGGTATTGTACAGTGGTGTGGCACTGTGCCTTGGCCACGCTGGTCATTACTATCAGGCAGTTCGTGTGCCACCTCTATTGCACAGTCCTGGAGAAGGAAGAATGGTGGTGCATCTTGAGTTGCGACAGTGGTCACTGAAGGCAAATTGCAGTGAGCTTAGGGAAATGTAGCCAAGATGATAAAGCCAAGAGTAGTGGAGTTGAGTGATTTTGCTCTGGCAACTGGGCAGTAGGAGTGTAAGAGCCTGGTGGTAGGATGGTGTACACTGAGAAAACAGCTAAAAATAGTTAGTGAGATGAGTTCTGGGGTCCAGACTGAACCCAAATGTGATTCAACTGAAGGAAGGCTTATGCTGTGTCAGAAAATACTTCTTGGTGCTGTTATAAAGAAGAGCAGAATTGAAACATATAAGCTGATCTCAGCACCAAACTGTACTTCCCTGACTCTTTTTTGGGAATGAGTTTGAGCTGAGTAGCATGTAAATGGCCTCTTGTTCATTATTATCAGGGTTATGGAAGCTGGGTGTCTCCTTCCCTTTACCCTTGTCCTCCAAACACCACCCCCAACATGTCTTATTCTTTAGCCATACTTAACTGTTAATATTTTCAGGGCTCTAAATTTGACCCCCTGTTCCATACTTGGACTGCTCCCTCTGTGAAGAAGGTCTTTCTACCCCTTTTTTGCTTGTCCGTAGGACATAGTGTCCTTATCTCCTCCTCTAGAAAGGCCCTACTGCTTGGGCCCCACCTGGGTTCTGTGGCCCTTTCCCAGTTTGAAATGATTAATCTACAGTAAAAGTCTTTCTCTCTCTCTCTTTTTTTATTTTTAAAGAGATTTTTGCTATAGGGCACATGCCGGGGGGAGTGGCTACACCACAATGTCTTCTCCAGTTTCCTCTCGGGATTTTAGGCACACACACACACATGCCCCTGATGTGTTTGAAGTCACTGGATCCAGACTTGAACCACTGTCAACCATGTGGGACGTAATCACTACGCCATCTGCTGGTCCCCAGCCCAAGCCTCTTAATGTGGCATATAAATCCTTCATGATCTGATTTGGCTGACTCTGCCTCCCTCTCTTACTTTCTCACTCTTCTGTCCCACCATCCTTTTCTCAGAAATGCCCAGCAGGCTCCCTAGTGGTCTCCTCAGGAAAGCTGCAGAAATAAGGCAGTTGGCTTTCGTAACCCCACTGCTTTCTCTGCCACTGATCTGCTACTTCTCTGCAGGAGTCAGCAGAAAACTGCTGCTTTTTAAAGGAAGCTCGGGAACGCCTCTTTCCTCCTCCTGAAGCTGCCCTTGCACTTGCCCACCTCCCGCTCCAGAAGCATCTCTCACTTCACCCCAGCTCTGTATTTGTAATGGCCTTTCTTCTGAACTAGGCTCAGCCATTGAAGTGCTGCAGTCACACTTACTCATTTTTTTACCCCAGAACCTTGCACTGAGAAGATGTTTGCTCAATGAATACATGTAATACGCATGATTGAACTATGTAAAAAGGAAGGGGCCAGTGTGATTTCTTGGTCGTTATGTCAAAGAGAGATGGACAAATACAACTCAGAGCATGACCCAGGGATATGGAAAGGGGGATAATTGCTTCTTCTCTTCTTGCAAAGCCCTTTCTGTTTCTGGAGGAGCTGTTAATGTGGCTTTGCTGAGCTAGTGGAAGTGGCAAGAGTTGGTTACTGTGGTGGTCATAGATTAACCTTTTCACAGTCCTGCTCATTTAAAAATTTTATTATAAAATATTTTAAGCTTATATAAAGTTACAAAGAGTAATATGATGAATATCAACATATCTACCACCTACATTAAGAGATAAAAATGTTATTAATACAGCTGAACTCTTTTAACCAGTATTCTGCTTTGGTATTTAAAATGCCCATGTAATCCTTTACACATTTACAGATATGAACCTATGTGTATAGTATAAGTTTGTATATGTGTTTATATTTGTGCAAACTATTGACTTATATAGTTATTATTTTATAACTCTTCTAAGCATCCTATCTGTGGGATTTATCTACAATATCCATCTGGATTGATACACGTAGTGCTAGTTAGTTTTTATTGCTGTGTAGTGTTCTAATTCATATATCTTGTTAGTAGATATTTGGTTGCTTCCAGTTCTTTCCTCTTACACAATGCCACTGTGAGCATTCTTGTTATATATCTTTGTATACCCATGTGAGAGTTTCTCAAGGATCATTAGTAGGAGTAAAATTTCTGCTTAATTGGGAATGTGCATATTCAACTTCATTACATTTTACAAAAATAATTCTCTGAAGCTTATTTACTTCATACTTAACAAAAAGAAATCTTTCTAACTCCTCTCAGATATGTAAGTTTTATATTCATGTTTCAGATGTAGTAGATTAAAGGTAGCATTTCTATTGAAACTTAAGATGCTCATTTAGGGGGTCAACAGGTGGCAAGGTAGTTGAGAACTCTGGGCTCTCACATGGCGGACCGTGGTTCCA